GAGAGACGAGGTTCGAAATTAGACAACTGTGAGTGTGATGAAGTTGGCCATGAATGTCTAGCTGATTGAATGTCCAGTCTCGTTCACTCCTGAGGAGCTTGAGACCTTCAACAAGGACCACAGTGCTTATCAGAATTTCCGTAAAGGTTGGCGTCCCTTTCGCTTTTGTTCTGCTTGCGCTGACATGATCAGAAATCGAGGTTCAATTACAGTCTGTCCACGGCGCAACCTTGCTAGGCACGCCAGAACAGCTAGGGGACAAAGATGTCTTCGCCCAGAACATGAAACAGCGATTGGCAAGGAAGCCCGAGTTGTTTGAGGATCTCGTTCCGTCATTCCCGCCCGTTTGCCGCCGACTTACACCTGGGCCTGGGTACTTGGAGGCCTTGACCGATGACAAGGTTCAGATCATCACTAGCGAAATCGTCCGGGTTGATGCAGATGGCATCATCACTGCCGATGGGGTGCATCATCCCACCGACATTTTGGTGTGCGCCACCGGGTTTGACACCAGCTTCACACCCAGATTCCCCATCACGGGGCGTAACGGTCTGTCGCTGGCGGAGCGGTGGAAGAGTACCCCCGAGTCCTACCTCTCCATCGCAGTCGACGAATTTCCCAACTACTTTATCTGTTTCGGGCCCAATTCGGCGCTGGGGGAGGGCAACCTGTTACTTTTGCTGGAGAAAGTGGTTGACTATTTCACCGCCTGTGTGCAGAAGATGCAGCGGGATAACATCCGATCCATGTCAGTTAGAAAGGATGCGGTGGAACGGTTTACGCGGCACTGCGATCAGTATTTCTCTCGCACGGTGTACAGCGAGAAATGTCGAAGCTGGTATAAAGGGGGGGCTGAAGATGGACGGGTGATAGGGGTGTGGCCAGGTATGGAACATTTCTCTTGCTGTTAGGCCTTGATGATCACGTATTGACCTAGCCAGGATCGTCTCTCCACTCACTGAAAACACTTTCGAATCCCCGGTGGGAGGACTTCACCTACGAGTATGTCGATGACAATGCGAATGGCTGGATCGGGGATGGATGGACGGAAAATGAGAAGAATAACGCGATCGAGGTGAACTATCTGGATGATGATCAGGTGGACTTTCCTTTGACTGTGGTTGAGCAGTTGAAGAATTGAGCAGATAGCCGTGTATGCAGCATGGAGACTCGGCCATTTCTTCTATTGCCGGTTCGTCTTCTTGCCATTCAGAATGGGATTTAGGTTGTTCCCGAGCTGTGAACCGGGTGTGTACGTCACCTGGTGTAGCTTACGCGTGATACTGGATAGTTAGTAGTAGTAGTAGTAGTAGTAGTAGTTGGTAGAAGTGCTGTGGTGTGTAATCTATCTGCGGTGGATGGCAGTCTCCCTTGTCGGGCCCACCGAGAACCCGCGTCACTCGATGGTAAGATTACCGGGTAATCTGCTAGACGGCAGCTCATTGTCAGTGAACCCGAGCGTATGGGCAAATACCACGGAGGAGGGAGTAACGAGTAACTACGGAACGAGCCGGTCACTTTTCAGGATTACTTTTGTCCACGAAAAGGAGACCCCAGAAAACCGGCTGGGGAAGACAGACATCCTTGGCCACTTAACTTACTCCTCTTCTACTGTCTTTCTCTCCACTGCCCCCGACCTGTCAACTGTCACTCTCTTCTCGAACAAATAAAGTCTCAGTGATTGAGGGGAATGGTGTCATACCCTTTCCCACCGGTCTGTCTCGTATCTTCAATTTTTACCCCCTCATCATCTTTACGTCTGCCTCCTCTGTAATCTAATCTCCTCCATCTATTTATCAAGAGATCGATGCCGGCTAGATCTCAACCGGAGATCTGACAATCTATCTTTGCCCTTTACTCTGCAGATCGGGAGACGGGTGCTCACAGTGTGTGCCAGGGACTCTCCCCCGACGGCGAACCGATAGCGTTTGCTGCTGCTGACCTTCCGCTCCGATCGCCATCTCTTCCCAACTCTTCCACACCCACACAAACCCACCCTCCCTTCAATTAGACTAAAGCAACCATCTACCCCGGACTTTCATCTCCCCCCGTTAATCTCACCCCTCCCCTCCCTTCTCCCCGATGCATGTCCTTCGCCCCTAACCATGAAGCCCGCGAGCAAGCATTTCTGCTGCACCATCTGTCAGCGGGGTTTCACCCGCATTGACCATCTCAAACGACATCATCTCCGCCGTACGTTCCAACATTTATCGCCCTCCTTCCTGCATCTCGGCCCGCTTCGGGCTCGTGTGTGGCTCATCCTTCAATGTTCGTCCTGCGCTAACTTCAACCTTGTCCGTTAGATTCCGGTGTCCGCCCTTATTCATGCGTTTTCTGCAACGAGTCCTTTGCGCGTTGGTTCGTGTTCTGCTCTCCCTCTCCCTCCCGCCCCTGGCCCGTCGTCGGTTTCCCGACCGGCGCATGTATGTTTGCCATGGTCGCTCCACCCAACCACGATGCTGATGCCTTCGCTCAACCTTCAGTGATAACCTTCGCGATCACTACACGGACTGTGCCAAGCGCGGCGATCAAAAGATCCCGGAGACCGGTCAAAGAGGCCGAAGGCGACATGCCTGTCAGTCGGCAAGTTCCCCCTGACCTCCCGCCGATCGCATACCCAACCTGTTTATTGTGCGCCACATGGTCGCTAATTGTCGGCATCTAGTGCACATCGATGAAACTGCGCTGCGATGGTCTGAGCCCATGCAGCTCGTGTCAGAAGCGGAACTTATGGTGTAACAATGAGCGCAAGCAAACAGCCGACAACCTGGAGCTGGTCTCCGGCTCGGCTTCGGTGAAGCGTGAGGACTACGGAGCTTCCTCGGATCGCGGCTCAATCAAGTTTCTCCTGAACGGTGGTACAGACAGTTTCACCGAGGAGTTCCTCCTTCCTCCCCGCAGCGATCGCGCTCGCGGCCTTGAGTACCATAATCAGAAGGGTCGGCAAGATGCTGGGCAGAGAATGCTCAACTTCCGGACAGGTGATCCGTCAGACTATGCACCCGCGTTCGTCGAGTCAGACCCGGCTTCCCTCTCGTTCTTCCAGGATACTTTTCTCGATTTCTTCAATGGTCCGTTCGGAAATGTGAACAAAATAGTCGGCGATTCCTATGCTGGTGGGGCCAACTTCCCTGCGATGGTTCCCCCGATACCAGATGCCGGCCTCGCGTTCGCCCCGCAACCTACGTATGAGCCGGAAGAACCGTATGCAGCCGGATTGTATCAGGCGATTCTAGCACGGGCGTGGTCGGTCCCTCTCGATACCCAAGCGCAGGAGCGTTTGTCAACATATCTCAGCTTTTTGTTGACGCCCGCCCGCATCGACAAGTTCGTCCGAATGTACCTGGAGTACTGGCAGCCCAGCTGTGCGATGGTCCACCTTGCATCACTGAATGTGAACACCGTCGCGTTACCCCTGCTTGCAGCGCTCGTGTTCATGGGTGCTACGTATACGACTGATGAGCAGGAGAAGCATGCTGCAAAGCAGGTGATGGATTTTGTTGAACTCTACATTTTCTCCAGCGAGACCTTCTCTCCAGAGAACGAGGTGGCTTTGGCATTCAGTGGACGCCGAATGTTTGATGGTGGGAATAATGATTGGATTCAGTTTCAGAACCTGCAGGCCGGCTTCATCATGGTTATTGCGCAGTACTGGTCGGGTAGCCCGACGGCGCGCAATCGAGCGATGGAAAACCGGTTCAGCGAAGTCATCAAGGTACTTACTATAGACTTGAGACAGGTGACGTTACTGACATGAGCAGGTCGCTCGTCGAATGAGCCTTCCCAAATGCCGCCATAACCAACATCAGGCTGTCTCGGAGTTTCAATGGATTCAGACAGAGTCTCGCATACGGTATGTGCCCGTTCCGTCTTCTAATTTACCCCGCTGACGGTAGAAGTACCATGAGCATCATTCTACTTCTCGACTGTGCATTTTCCTTCTTCCAAAACTACCCTTGCCGTCTGTCACATCTTGAAGTCGAGTGCGATTTTCCCTGCGCCGAGTCTCTTTTTGCTCTCGAACACCCGTACTCCGATCGCAACTTCCAGGCCTCGAGGGGAGTCCCGATCTTGGAAGCGTTCCACAATCTATTCGAGGAAGATCCCAAGGACACGATGCCTTCCACTCCGGACTCATCCGCGTCTGGCAGTATGGCTAGTCTGACAGTACTCGACATGTTCATACTGATCCATGGTAAGTCACCCACCGATAGCACATGCCATTGAGCTAATTGGTCTAGTTCTGTACACATTCATCAATTCGCACATGTCACTACTGGGCCCTATCCTCCGGAAGACTCAGAATTCTCACCCGAAGCATCTCTTCAGCTTCGATCCCCCAGAGAAGAGCCAGTCTCGGGCGATCCCAGACGACCTCATGCTAGCCCATATCCGAGTCGCACTGGCCCGATGGCGCGAGCACTGGATGACGCTCAGCAACACTCTTTCGAGCGGGGAGTGGGCGTCAATGGGCTTCTTCAAGAACGGGTACAACTTCTGGTTGGTCTCGCAACTGCTCATCACGAAGAAGAAGAGCGTGGACGTGGTGATGCAGATGGAGGTCAACTGTGAGGACAAGTTGCAGAAGCTGAAGGTTCTGCTTGATGAGAATGAATAAGGTCATCGTCTCTAATCTATCTTCCTCTATCGATGTCGATGTCGCCTTATGAAATAGGGAACTACATATGTATGGGCGCGGGCGTCTGGAGCCATGGGTCTGCGAATAAGACATAACCCCACGGTGATTGTATTCTGTCTGTGTATTACTACATGTGATGTGTATTATATTAATGTATGAAAAGATCTGAGTTGTATGTGAGGAACCTAACATGAAGCATACTACTTACTAGTCAATGCACAAATCCGCATAGCTGACTCATATCCACACATAAATTAGCATCCACCCCAAAACAGTAGCTCCCCAAAACAGAAAGCGGTCACCATCTGCCCATCTCTGCACCCACCCGACGTCAACAACCATCCTCACCAAGCTTCAAAAAGCTTCCTTCCCTCTCCATCCCTCATCCTCACGGACACCTGTCCCACCCACCATGCCCGACTCGCCCCCGCGGCGACGCCGCTCACGCTCGCGCTCACCCCGGCGCCACCCCCCCAAAGGCCCGGGCGGATTCCGCTGGAAAGAGAAACGCGCACCTCCCCGCGACGACAACTTCCATAACGAAACCGACCGTCCACTTGACCGCGGCTACCGCGCGCGCTCACCTCCTCGCCGAGATAGCTACAGAGACAATACTAGCGATAGATACGGAGACAGAGACAGATACCGTCGAGACTACAGCCCCGACCGCGCCAGAGATAGGGACCGTGACCGTGATCGCGACTCAACCAAGCCCAAGAAAACCGACAGCGAAAAGAAAGAGAAGAAAGAGAAGAAGAAGAAACTCAAGCCCGCTAGCACGGAGGAAATGATCCTTGTGACGGTCAATGATCGACTGGGTAGTAAGGCTACGGTGCCGTGTTTGCCGTCGGATACGGTGGGCGATTTGAAGGTCTTGGTGGCGGCGCAGATTGGAAGGGCTCCTAGGGAGATTATGTTGAAGAGGCAGGGCGAACGCCCCTTTAAGGATTTTATTACCCTTGGGGATTATAGTATTACTAATGGGGTGCAGTTGGATTTGGAGATTGGGACGGGAGATTAAATATCTTCTTCGTGTTGAGGGATTGTGTGGGGAAGTGTGGTTATCAGCTGGTATTAGGTTCTCTGTGGTCATGGATGTTTCGTTCTCTGGTGATGTGGGGATCGGATTGGAGAGGAGTTGGATGGAGTTGGGGGTTCTTACTACTGTGACTATGTAAAGTTGTGGAAATGGTATCATGCATCATATCATATATCTTAGTAGGGAGTATAACAGTGTCCATATGTCAAGCTGTTTTATTGGTTCAATATGGGTATTGGAACGTTGCCTTTAAGGTATGTAATGTATGTAATGTACCGACAGGTCACTGTGACTTCGGGAAGTACCCTCGTTACCAGGGTCCAGTCACACGACACCGACCACGTTTTCCAAGGCTTTTTGTGGCACGGACAGCGCCACGGCTTGAATGTTATGTTGACGTCCTGCGTTCAAAGTATTAATCAGTACATTACCATTGAATCTTCATATCTAGTGCATCGTCTCAATTACCGTGATCGACCCATATCGCTACCTTGGTACGGACTATGGAGCAGTTCGACAAGGTTATTCCCGCTGTGGATCGACTAAATTAGTTGCTCCGCGCTGCCGTTAGCCCTAAATCGACATCATGCATTTTAGCTAGTAAGTAAACTACTACACTAAAATTTTACTTTCTAAATAGCTGAACCGCGAGCAGAAAACAAATCAATACTCATAACCAGCAATAACAACCAAGCCCTACCCTAAACCAGAAGAGACCCAACCACCAACCCAACAACCCCCCACCCCATCTTCCTCCAACACCAACCCAAGACCTTCGCAGCACCCGAAGTCTCCTTCCCATTACCAGCAGCAGATCCAGACCCATCCCCACTCGACGAGCTCCCAGATGAGTCCGAAGTTCCACTCCCACTTCCATCCCCAATACCACTCGAAGAACCCGAAGAAGAATCATCCCCCGAATTAACAACCTCAAACACCGCCGAATACTTCACCCTCCCCACATCCTTAACATCCACAATCGCAAACCGATAATCATCCCCACTCTTCACACTCCCCGGCAACACACACGCCACGTCCCCTGAGTTCGCAATATCCGTCGTGATAGTCGTCACATTCTTCAGTCCAGTTCCATTCGCAGTTCCATTGTTATTCAACCCCCCCTCCATAAGATAAATACTCACTTCTGAGACATTCCTCTCCACTTCCCAGGTAATAATAGTAGTCTGGCCTGTTTTTACTACCTCCCCTTGGGTAGGGTAATATGTTGTCGAGGCGTTGGTGGAGGATGAGATGGTAAAGGGGGATGAGGTGTATGTCTCAGAGGATGAGGAGGGTTCTAGGACAACGATGTAGTCGGAGCCGGTGCCCACGCGCGATGGCGGCGACCAGGAGATTGAGCCTGAGTTGGAGATGTTGCTGGCGATGGTGTAGAGGTTTGTTGTTTCGTTGGTGGTTTTGGAGAGGTGGATGGATAACTTCGAGGTGCTGGGCGCAGTTGTGTTCCAGGATATGACGGTTGCGGTGTTCAGGGAGATTATGGCGCCCGAGGTGGGTTCGGTTATGCTATAGGTTGGGGTGGTGGTGGCAGCGGTGAGGGTGGATGATAGGGTGAGGGCTGTTAGGAGGAGGGTTTTGAGGGTGTGCATTTTGTTGGTGGTGGTAGCTTTGGTGTAGTGTGGATTGAATAGAGTTCAATGGTGAAAAAAGAAAGTCAGTAGAACATAAATTTGACCCTGCAACGAGCAAAACAAGAAGAAATAATTGTTATTTGGGCTGTCAAGGGATAATGTTTGGTTTATCAGCTCATTCCATTCCTTGCGTTGGGGTTACCGGTAGTACTGTCATGCCGGCAATAGTATTATCCAGGGTGGCTGTCTGTCCGGCATGCACGAACCGGCCCTATTTATATCCCAGGCAACCATCATCAACTATGGGTCTCGTTAATGTACCCGATTGATTGTATGCAGGAGCCAGGGAAAATATCTATCCCTAGCGCGGTAACAGCCCTGTGCAGGAGGCTGTATGCAGGTGCTGTAGGTAGTGGTTCCTGGTATATGATTATCCACTCGAGGGGCTAGGACTTTGGTAAGCAAACTGTGGAGATAGGGCAAGTTCAGGGAATTTCTTTAAATTGCTTATTCTGGTATATCGGCTAGTGCTTTATTGATAGTTTCTGGCGATGCGGAAACGGGTACTAGTGTTACCCGTGAAAATGTATCATAGAGGAGGGAGTGCTTCAAGGTCTGAGCTGTGGTCTCGAGAGCCTATCTAAGTGATTGATACCATTGGCCCCTTGAGTTTGGCTTTATTATACTAACCTACTTTACACCCTAGCGGGGCAAGCAATGGTGTCCAGAGGAAACGTTCATTGATCTAATCTAATATACTCCACGCCGGCCATCCTTCCCATATGTTACCTCACGATCTAACTCAGATCCTTACTGAGCCACTTCTTAAAGTCTTCAGCAATATCATCCAACTAGATACTAACCCATCAATGTTGACTCCTCTAGACGTAAAGGCCTCCTTTTCCACGCCCTTCGATCTCACATGCCCCAAAATCCAATTACAGGACTATCTTCCATGATGGTGATCATCGAATTGTAGGTCGAAATGTCTTCGCCTGGATCATGTTGGCCCAGATGACATGGCACAGTTTGTCTTGGGTCCAGCACGGTATTCACAGCGCTCTAAATTTCCATTCCCACATCACAGAATCATCAACCAAGAATATCGTCACTTATCCCCATAAGCTATTGGAATACCAGATTCTGCTTCAAACCCTGGATTCATCTGTGTAGGTCTAAGGCACTAGCAGAAAAGCCTAACTTTGCATCTACTTCATTGCTATCTTCTCTTCGGGTGAGTCCCGTTGTATTGAGAATCTCAGAATGAAGGATCGTCTCTAAATAAGTTGAAGACCTTCTATTATGTTGGGAGGTCCGTTTTCCATCTTCAAGCTAACATTTTCTCAGTTGGTCGTTGCTTTGCGAGCATTAATCACTGAATGGCATTGATTCCCCAATCATGCGCTGCCATGATTGCTTCGACCTGTCTCATCTTTACACTTACTATCCATGCCTTCTCCAGTACTGTCGACACCGCATCTGTCACCTCCGGAACTGTCAGTCAGTCTTTGGCAGCTACTTCTTGCTGCAATGTCAGTGACCCCAATATCGATCTATATACCGTGCCAGGGAACAAAACGTGTGTAGATATCACTCTAGCATTCAATTTGTCTACCCCACTACTGATAGTCATCAACGCGCTGGGGTTGGTTGTCAGTATCTGACCGCAAACAAAACCCTTTGCCTTCCTGGCACTTGTTCTATCTATCTGGTGCAGCCTAATGACACCTGTGCATCCATTCTCTCCAACATTTGTTGGAAGGTTTCTCTTCCTATTTTCCGATCATGGAATCCCAGGGTTGACTCGAAATGTTCCAATCTTAATACCTTGGTTGACCAATAAATTTGTCTAAGGTAACGCTCTTCCCTATGCTTTTCTTGATACCGACATGGCAGAAACACTGATTCCCGTGGCAACACACAGCCCCCCGGGTAGTTTGACTGTTCCAACAGCCTTTCCTCTACGGCCTGCTAGTTCCGCAGTGTGAGAGAACCTTTGATTCTGCAGGCAGGGTAATACACGCTGCTAATACCCAGAAGTCCAATCCCAAGCAATGCAGTAACTACCTCGAACACTGACTGTGGTTATTGGCACGCCATTCACATTTACGAGACATGTGACACTGTTGCAGAAATGTTCGGTATATCGGAAACGGACTTCTACTTTCTAATCCTCAACTAGACAACAGCTGCTCTAGCCTATGGCAAGGTAATAGCTATGTATGTATATGTAATTCATTCCCCTAGAGCCATTGTGGGGAGGAACTTATCCGAATCTTCAATTCCACTAGTGCTTTCAAGCGGTGGGCAACATCAACACCTATGCCGGTTATTCAACGACAAGCTGGACGGCATATACCACACTGGCTTCAACTATCAATCTGAGCGCAACCGTTACCGCCAACCGTACTACAACGTAAGAAATTCTGTTCGATAGTTTGGGGTTGGGTTCGGGTTTGCGATACTGAATCGGTCTTCAGCGTCTGCTACTAACAGCGCGAGCACGACGACTAATAGCAGCGTTACTCAATCTTCCGAAGCGACTTCTACGGCATCTTCGTCTGTGAACACCTCCCCAGATGGCACTTGCGGCGAGTCTACCGGGTATTCGTGCACCAACTCTCAATTTGGGAACTGCTGCAGCAAATTTGGCTACTGGTGAGTTGAACCAGACTTCGCTTAGAGTGATGACTAATTGGGTTTGCCCCCGACCACGATCAGTGGATCAACGAGCGACTACTGCGAAACCAACTGCGACCCTGCATACGGCGAGTGCAAGGCTTCCTCCATAGCCAGCAGTCTGACTCCGACCTCAGCATCTACGGCGACCCCGACATCCACAGCCAATATCTCGCCTAATGGTCTGTGTGGGGCCAATAATGGAGGCTATACCTGCCTGAACTCACAATTTGGCAATTGCTGCAGCCTTTATGGTTACTGGTACGTGACTTGCTGTTCGATGCATGCGACGAAAAATGTACTAATGAGGTCGATTCAGTGGATCGACCAGCGACTATTGTGCCTCGCAATCCTGCGATAGCTCCTATGGAGAATGTTCTGCTCAAGTCCGAGACGTCCGAACGCTTGTCTACTTTCCAATCCACCAATCACAGGCGAAGACCCCGGAAGCTCGGATGCATACTTTGTACTAAGACCCTGAGTAACCAGGGTTGCGGTCCCGCACTACGATATTAGCAAAGACAGGAAATTCATCCAGGGCCTCCACCTGCCGCTTTCTGAATGGAGGATTGTGTATACCACAAGTTTGAGACGAAAAGGGCAAATTGACCGGCTACCTAGCCGGAATTTGCCGACCATCGCGTGATTAGTGTGTAGAATGTCATTACTTCTCGATCAAGTGTAGCCGATAGTAGCAAACTTACGCCATACCCTACGTATCGAGCATCATGGACCATTCAGACTCTGAATAGTGCATATTCTGTACCATGGTTCTGCTCTGAGAGCAAAAATGCGCTGCTTCCATTCCACTACTAGCAGCTAGCTATTCTATGGTCATATGTGGGTTGCAGCAAATCAACTGATAAGCCCCGGTGTTCGAACTAACCCGTCGCGTGAGGAATCTTTTGTTTTTCTCTTACCTTTATTTCATGTTATTATTGTTTCTCTCCTTTTTACTTCTTATACGTACAAGTTTCTCCGGACTACTAATAGGACAGAAGAAAGCGACCAAGAATGGTGCCTAATGCGCTGCTAAGCTTCGGAACGGGCCCCACCTAGGGTTTTACCATTATCCGGTTCGTCCTATTATTTCCCCTTACATTTGAAGTCCCTGGATTGATCGTCTCTGGCTAAACATCTCTCCATCCTTATTGTTCACAGGATGCTTCAACTTGAGCCATTCATCCCATCCACGGACCTCTGGCCGGGTGGCATCCCAGCATGCCTTCGTCTGGAGTCCAGCTCCAAGATAGAAAATCATGATATGGCTGAAATATCCAAAGGCTGGCTCCAGTTTGTACAGGTATGGACTCTTCACATAGTCTTCGATCTCCTTGGGAGTACACAATCTCACTAGATCTGTAGGAAGAATGGTCTGTTTCTGAGGGTCTTGATGAAGAGCTCCAGCAACGCCGCCGCTTAATGGAGCGTTGGGCGTCTGCGTCAAGACTTCCGTGACGTAAAATAAGACCTGTGCCCTCAGTGTTCGAAACCCAGCATTAATATCGAATGGTAATAGTCCTATCAAAATCGCGCGTCCCTGCCAAAATCAGCCGTCCAATATCCTATGCCCTTGCTCAAACGAGTTAGGCATGCTCCGAAACAAACCTTCTGTCTCGCCCCGGTAGATCGCGAAAGTCATGCGACCAATTACACCCGGCTCGTCAAGCTACTAATTCTCCTTTACACTAGCCTACGTCGTGGAGGGAAGTCGCATCCGATGAGCTTCGAACCCGATCCATACCCACAGATTCCAGCCGTATTCCCGGACCATACCAAATCTTCACCTGCACCTGAAGCTTTGATACCACAATACTGCCTTGAATCCGCGGACTTTCGCTATATCTCGATGACGCACTCTGGAAAAGTACTATTTCCACGCCTCAATAATAAGATCTTCACAGTAATAGACCAGGAAGCCTTGAACACTGGCCAGCTCATCATGCTTGAACTTCCATTGAAGCCAAATGGTACGGCCAGAAACAGTTACACGTAATTCACGGGGCAGCAAACGCTCTGGTGATGGCAGTCCGCTTCACGGTGCTGATCAGCCCAATGCGTTGCCTGACTCGAAACGCCAAAGACGGGGCAGATATGTCTCTCAGGCATGGTAGGATATTATGCCTCAAGCCATTTTCGGCTTCTTCCGTTCAACTGACCCAAACCCTACAGTATGCAATGTCGCCAGCGAAAGGTCAAAGTGGGGATGCAATAAAAGTTCGAGTATGATCAACTGCTAATTGTGAACGCAGTGTGATGGGAACTTGCCTTGTCAACCTTGCCTCCTTAGCGGGCGACGATGCTCCCAGAATGCCATCGATCTACGACGTCGAACATCTGTTAGAAATGAAATGTCTGCAAGTCATGTGAGGGAATCGATGACTCGGGAAGACATTGACAGTACGGAAAATTCCGCGTTCGTCACCCCATCATCACTGAAGGGCATCTGTGTGACGCCTCTTGGAGAACTGTTTCTAATTGGAGCTTTAGTGTGAGGGGGAAGGATGTTTTGACGAGATTGGATCGCGTCGAACGCCAGTTGCAGTCACTCATTAATGCTGTATGCCCTGCTTTCAATGAGCGTGACAGCATTGATGCAGAAACAGGCCCAGTGGATAGACCAGGATCGACCACCATCGAAAACGGATCATTTACTAGCTCAAAGAACAAGGCGCTTGTTCGTGATGAGGTAAACTCTTTTTCCGGTGAAACTTCCATCCGACATGTATTGGAGGAAGTCGAGGAACGCTTGGAGACAACTCAAGGCCACGGTGGTCCTGCCACCAACGCTCCACATTCTCAAATTTCCACACCGATTTTGACCCCGTCACCTCATCACGAGAGGGGAGAAAAGAGTCCAGAGTATACTAATCACCGAAACATATTTCTAACATACGGTATCCAGCCCAAGCGACCGCAGTGGGATAAGTCCTTGGACATCTTTTGTACGGAAATCCATATCTTGTATCCGTTCTTACACCTACCAACGCTCCGAAACAATCACGATGTCATGTGGAATAGTCTCGCTTTGTCTTCTGAACCTGATATTCACAAATCAAAGATCTCCGAGATAGCTCTGGCTCAGCTTCTCGTATGCATTGCTATTGGACAGTGTACCGAGTCACCAAGGTTGGAGAATCGAGAAGGCCGGCACTCAGCAGGCTGGAGCTTATATGGAGCAGCATATGGGTTGATTGGAGACCTTCTTGATAGTTTCGAAAGCTGCCCAGACCCACTTCTACTTCTACAAACACTGGCCTTGGTGGTTCGTTCCAGCCCTCCCCTGGCGATATGTATGACTCACGCTTACATCGCGTTTCCGTAGGTAATCTGTCTCTTTCGTCTTGACAATTTTGGAAAGGCCGAAAAGCTCCTGGCTCTTGCTATCAGCCACGCACATCATCTTGGGCTACACCGATCTAGGGTAATACATAACATGTCTCCTTATCACAGTGAAATGTTTCGACGGATGTGGTGGAGTCTTTACATCTTGGATCGTCGCCTGGCTATTGAGACCGGCCACCCATCCTTGATCCAAGATGTCAATGTTGACACGCCTTTACCTCGACCAGTAGACGATGATCAGCTCTCTGTGTCCCTAAACCGCCCCAATGCTGACCTAGACATATCTCAACTGTCGGAAACAAATGGTCGTCATACCACTTCGTTTCCCTACTTTAGAGCTATGATAACCTACTCTCAAGTCTTGGGCGAAGTCTGGGAGGGGCTCTATGGCGCTAAGAGCTTGGATCCGGCTCCCAACTATCCTCTCCGTGAACATCTTTAACGCCTGCTGTTCCGGGCTCAGAAAGATATTCATCAGGACTTTGCCCATCCCCACTATGGATCACGCGCAACGCAACTTGTCGAAACGCCATGGTGATTGATAAAGCAGCAATCCCTAATGCGAACTGTATGACACTTAGCCTGCTTGTTTCTATTGATTTTGCCTTACTGATATCCCCAGCGGTGGCTATCCGTTCGCCTTCTGATACGCAGGCCCCTGCTATGCGCATCTGTTTCGCCTGATGGGACTCCTCGGGACTTGTTCGAGAACGAAATGTCATGCATGCAAATCGCTAATGGCATTATTGAAGAGGTCTCTCAGTTCCCTGAGGAAAAGGCCATCTTCACTTTTCCTTTCATACACTACCTAATTGGGGCGACAATAACCTCCCTCGGGCTGATAATGAAGGAGAATACGTTCAAGGCTGCCTATGGCGGAGCCACAGTTCATGCCGTCCGATTGCTGGAGTCTTATTGTACCAAAACATGGATATCTGGGAAGTTGATACGAGTTGTTTCAAGGCTGAGGCATATGGTGTCTCGGTTATTGAAAGAAGACAATGTCGTGGGCTCGGGAGTCTCACTATATAAACATTCATCTCGGGCTCCCGAGGTTCTGGATAGTCGGGTTCAACCAACAGGGATTGGCAGTGGCGAAGGTTCTTCCGTGACTCACCCAAGCCAAGTACCAAACGACGCGTTAGTAGGGCAACACGATTTTGTCAGACCACCTGATATGAATGTTCGTTCGGGTGTAGGAGGCGAGGCCACCTCTCAGATGCCACCTTTGTACGGGCCAGATATTACTGCGCCTTGCTTGTCTACGCAAGTTCTGTCATTCGATGGCCTGGCCTAGTTATGTCTGACTTTGACTTTGAGGAAGGCGTCCCGATCGGTACTGGATTTGGAATGCATCCTACACAAGGTCCTGCATGCATACAGCCCTCACCAAACGACCAGCCACAAAGCGGTGCGTGCACTAGTCATACTACTTCGAGATCCTTGGCTATGCATAACGAACAAGCTGCTGGTGGTTTCGGAGATAGTGGGTTGGGGGAAATGGAATGGCTAGAAGCTTTGTTTGGCAATTATGTCAACTCTGATTTTATACATGGTCAATACATGTGATGCCTTGCAGAGACTAATAGCCGACTAAGTTTATCTATCTTCGTCGCTCACCACACGTCCATTATGTTAGTGTGAGGAATCCTAGATCTTTCCCCCTTCATTCTAATTGTTCCTTCACGAACAGGGCTGGTAATCATCAAATGTATATCTCAAGTCTAATCCGCTCGAGTCAATGAAGCGTGCGACGGCAAGACACCAGCATTCTCGAACGACCTGTAAGTTTCAATCCAGGTGTCGAAAGTATTATCGTGTCGCTGCCAGCCATACTTCCTGGCCTTGTTAATAGACGAAATCGTCAACCACGACTTGCCCGTTGCCCAGTTAAAGAAACCCCACGTGCCCCAATCAAAAGCCTCGACCTTGCCTCCGTGCTTCTGGACGACAGTCTCCCAGACTGCACGTTTATCCTTTGCCCATTCCACCATATCAATTTCATTGCTCAGGGTCTTTGCCTGGCCAGCGGTCTTTTCAAACTTGGGCTCTGGTACCTACAGAATCACACAATTAGCCTGGATGTGGCAACGCTACTATGAAGAAAAGCACCATACCTCGACCCCGAAATATTTGGCCACATCCTGCCACATATGCTTCCACACAAAAATATCACCATTGACGTGATTGAAAACCTCGTCCCTGCAATGTTCCTGCGAGGAAGCCCAGACTGTGAGATCCGCCAGGCTTGGTGCGTACGAATCATTTTCGATGGAGTTCCAGAAGTACTCATTTCCAGGGAGCGTTGCTGGCTGGTTGAGCTCCCTGCAGATGAGCATGTAGATGGCGATGGTCAAGGCCTCTGACATTCCGTTTGCTGGATTTTGCAGACAGCATTAGCCTAGGTGTCTCACCACAGGGAATAGTAGTATGGGTGGATAGATAAATGAACCCACCATGCGGAGCAAATCCATTGATCGCATTTGGTCGGATAATATTGTACGACCAAGTATTCCTCCTCTTCTGCACTTCCCTCAGATAATCTTCCTGGTTGTAATAGAAATTAAATCCCTGGTCATCATACCGCGGGAAGGACTCCTCCAAAGGCACCTTCACTGGACCGAGATGCACCCCGTAGTACTACATTCTTTAGCATCAACCCTCACCACTCCTTCTAATCATCAACAGAAATCTATAGAACAAGAAACATACCTTTCCCCCAGTCTGCAAACTCACCCTCTGCAACCCAGGACACACCGCATCCACGGCATCCAAGAAATTCCTAAAAAGAGGAACATTCTTCTCCCTCAGAACCCTGAAATCATCATCATGCACGTACGAAGTGAAATAAGCGTGTGTCACGGGTGCACAGATATCCTTGAGCTTAGAGATGATGGTTTCCACGGATTCAAGGAAATCCACGGCGACGAATTCCACTCGTGGGTCGATCCACGGTGTGGGCAGGGGACGCCTGGAGGTGACGATGATTTTGGACCTTGAGCATTTGATAACGGTGTTAGGGGGGTTGTAGCTCAGCGAGAAGGGATGAGGAGTGGTTACCATTCATGTTTGGGTTGGCGGATGAGATGTTCCACGATGGCGTAGCCGCTGATGCCGTTGGCGCCGGTTACGAAGGCGACTTTTTGGGGGAGGGGAGACATTCTGTGCTACTTTGGTAATCTTGGGTGAGGATATTGGTCGGGGTTAGGATGGTGATTGTAGTGAAGGGAATGGGAATGGGAAGTTTGTGTCTCTTATATAGGTGACATTGTGGGCTTGCTATATTGACTTGGGTTATGGATCAAGTCTATCCTTGCCTTCTTGCTATGGCACGGCTATCTCGGCATACGAAACGAGGGCGAATGATTATCTGTCTATGGACCTGCATCTAGGTTGGACTGATTACTGAATCTGCGTGACGTCTGTACCAGCTCGTTCTTGCTCAATGAAGCCGAGTCAACTTTTCATCTACTCAATCCCACAATCAGTCATCTAAGGATACTGCATCAATCGAGACATCTACACTTGCCATCGAGATTTTGGCTTGCCTCCGTAGCATAACCGGATACATCGGCCTCAAATGCCCCTCTCGGCGACGCCGATCATCTGCAGCTGTGGATCCCGTTAAGTATAGATTTAACCTTTTCTGGCTTGATGGACGAGTTAGGGCTGGTGGGTGGGTGGAGCTGTAGTTCCGTCACATTGGAGTTCCGTGCTTATTCCGTGGTTATTCCGTTGCTTTTTCCGGGTATTTCCATAGTTCCGTGGCAGACCGATGATCAGTGTTCCGGCAGCCTCAGCAGGAATAATACAACGGTTGTTATAGACTATTTCCATTGATTGTTGGCAGTAAAGGTTGAAATTGTCTCCTCTGAGCATCGCCTGGTAGGGTGTAGCGTGATCAATCAATCTGTTATGCAGTACTACTAGTAGTACGAGTAGTCCTATGAACATCCGGCTAAAATATATAATCGCCGCACAAGTGCGGATATCAACCATTGAGTCAGTGATTCCACCAGAATTAAGCTCAATCACAGTACCAATAGGTCATCAAAAGATCTCTAGCTAGTAAGTTATTAGCTGGGGTGTAAACCACATCATTATGTTCTGGTAGCGACGTTGAACCAACTCGTGGTCCAAGACACCGGACCGCTACTGACGAATAATGGCATCCGTGCAAAGAGTGCTTTTAGCTCCCCTCACATAACAAAAAATATGTCGCATCTTTCATCAAATGGGGCTGTGGTTTAGTGGTATAATATTCCCTTAGCATGGGAGAGGTCCGGGGTTCGATTCCCCGCAGCTCCATTTTTTCTTTTTCTTTTTTCCTTTACCCGTTTCCCAACCACCTCCATCTCAGTGCCTACACAGCAGATAGTACATACACTATACCAATCTCGTCCTAGACAAGCCATCCCTCATCACCCCAAATTAAACACACCACCCATCTCCAACCCACCTTCACCCCCTCCATCCGCCACTCTCACCTCGGCACCACCATGCCCTCCCAAACAGCCTTCATCTCCGGCCCTATCAACACTGGCCCCAACGAGGCCTACTTCCACGCACACTACCCACCACTCCTCACCGCCGCCATCGCCCGCAACGACTCCTTTGTCCTCGGCCCTCTACCCTATGGCGTCGACTACGACGCCCTCTCCTACCTCCTGCAGTACCCCGTCTCCCCGACGAGAATCACCGTATTCGTGACCCCACAGGAAAACAGTCTCTGGGGAATGCAGTTGCGTGCGTTAGGGGTCAATGTACACGTTGTCGAGGGAGATAGTACCCGTGATCGGGACACCGCTATGACTGCCGCCAGTACGTATGATATTCTGAGGATTAGGACGGAGGAGGAGGCGAGGGAGGTGTATGGGGAGTTGTGTAGGGAGGGGTATGTGACGAATACGGAGAGGAATTGGAGGAGGAGGAGGGGTATGGGAGAGGATGAGAAGGTGGAGGCGGAGGTGGTTAATGGGGATGTTAGGGCTGGGTTGGGTGTGAAGGAGAAGAAGAGGAGGTTTCTGGGGAAGGCTTTGGGAAGGTGAGAAGTGTCGAGTGTTGGATTGGGTTGTTTATGCAGATGCAGGGGTTGTGTATGGATGGGTTGGAATGGTGAGACCGGGGAGATGAGGTTGTGCTACCACCTGCTAGCCCTAACTGCGAAGATTAAACCCAGTCTTGACGCCATTTCTCTAACGATGTCTCAGTGATCGGTCCTAGAGGTGCAAATGTAGGACTGGCCAACTGAGACCATGTCGTGTCCACTTGGGGGAGCCATCTGCCCACCCAGGAGGAGAAGACCGGGTGCACCTTCGCATGCCTCTGTTTCATATCCTTCTATAAAGTCCCCGGAGGTAATTAGCAATGCGCCTCAACCCACTCCGTACCACATTCCCTTCCATGCATATCCAGGCTGACAGTCTGACGGAAGGTTTGATCTATCCACTGGACCATTTGATTCACGGCTGCGCCATGACATGCATAGTCACATAGCGAAAGCTATCAGTAACATCACTGGATTTGGGATGCAAGTAAAGACCCGTTCAGGTTCCTCATGCGCGAATTAATCGATGACGTGTGGAAGCAGTCGCCTTCCGCGGTATTCTTCAGCATCTTGTGCCCAGGATGCAGCGGTATCGGAATAATTCATTATGCAACTGAAATGAGACACTGCAATTAAGTGAGACTTGACTAGTGGCGGGCTTTTCTTTGGGGAATAAGAAATGAAGTACTACTGGAAGTTCGAGGGAGTTTGAGCGTCTCTTTTAAACTGAAGCTCATGCCAACGAGTTCCAAGACACAGATCGGAAGGGTCTACTCTGGACAAGCATAAGACGTCATGCCCCGGAGGGAAGAGGGGAAGAGTCTGTTTGCGAGAGGCCTCCATCTTGCCGAATAGGAGATAGTAAGACTTCCGGATACTGGATCTCACCTGTCTTGTCAGGCCTCTTGCAATAATAATGGTAGTGACTGGAGCTTAAGTAGTCGCCTTAATGGCCGCCTCTTCCCAGACATCGGCTAGCCGTAGGAAGCTCGGTCCAATGATGTCCATATCCCAGCCTTGTCATGTTAGCCGCGCATGAGCTGCAACGGACTGGCAAAAGATCTGTTGTGATAATCGATTCAGTCACGAGGCCTGTGCATCTCGAAATTGACAATTCCTTAATCCGTGCCCCGAGCCATCGATGCTGATGCGTCTTACGGCACGTCAAATCGCCCGGCTCTAGCCGGTATGAGTTTGCACACGACTATACGCCCTGATACCTGGGTAGGGCTGATGTGAGGCTGATCACTAGCCCACTAGAGAAGAGCCTGGAAGATTTGAAGCGCAAGCTGTAGAACTTGCGGCGCGTGCGAGACTCCCAATGTATCTTAAGGGCCAAACAGTGGAGAGTATTGTTGTGTACAGCGTATCAGCGGGTGATTGGCGACCCATCAGCGGTGGGACGACCCATGGCTGAACACTGGATGGAGTGGATGTATCCCGTAGTGGATATGGTGGATCGCCAGTGGATCTGGGCGAAGCTCTACAGTTTGGGTCGCGGAAGGATTACACGGGCCGCAGCAGTCTCAAGACTCAAGAGAACCTGCATTGATTGGTGGGTCTATGGGACTTGGGGCTGAACTTGGTCATGAGGCTGTGGTACAAGGAGAGATGCATGCGTACGTACTTGCATGCAGGTCAGATAACCAGGGATCCAACCAGGATGTAAAGACATGCCTCACAGAACGCTGCGAAGGATAAGCTTGGCCCTCTCTAAGCCCTTCTCATATAAGTAGAATGTGTCTTTGATCTTACAGCGAGATCTGCGTTTCTATCGCCATTCAGAAGCGTCAATTGTAGAGCCCTACCTCGGCCAATATTTTCTATGCAAAACCTATTCTCATTTAGCGCAAAACTTCTAATCGCAACCAGAAATTTCCTTGTGTTGACTTTATTGATAGCTCAATAAAAAACTTGATTCAAAAACATACAACAGAAGGGATTCGCTGGTGGTCACCCACCCAACTACTAACCTCCCGGCGTGTGGCTTAAGTACGGCTGAGCGGACGGGAAGCCCTGTTTTCCACACCCTATGGTCGTATGTGCTTAATTTGTCTATTGAGAGAAACATATAAGCCTTTATCTATTCAAATAACAGGAATAACTGCCAACACAATGTTTGTGCGGCTGCACAACCCGAGTTAAGCCGACCCCGCGTATTTCCGTATCCCAACCGGGCCAATTTGTTCATGTCGAACGAACATAAAAGCAAGCAATCCTCTATGCATGTAGCAAACATGTATCGGCAAGAACTAACGCGGACCCCAAATCAGCTCTCCATTCCAGCAAACGGAGGGTGGGGAACTTGGAGCTGGCAGCCATCAGGATATTCAGTGAGGCTGACCTGGCGCGACGATATCATGCTAGATAATATTTGTATAAGATATTCCTCATACCGAGCCGCTGTGGAAATAGTGGATCCTGATATAATGAAGTGTCGTTGTTCAGCATGCGGCAGGATTACACGAACTGTTTCGATTGGTGGATGGACGGGGTGTAAGACGATCTTACCATCGAGGATTCATAAAGCCTCACATGCTGCGTTTTTCACTCTCTATTTCTCGGGTTAAGAATATAAATGTCTGGTGAGAGCCAGCTTTCTGCAGCCATTCAGGATTATTATCATAAAGCCCTACATACTTCAGCCTTCCTCCGCAAACCTCCTTCCGTATAACGCCGCATCTACTCCCTAAAAGCTACGACCAATGACTTCCTCTCCCATCACACCTTTGGAGGCAGACTATGTGATTATCGGCGGAGGAACATCAGGTCTTGTACTCGCTGCTCGATTGTCCGAGTGTGACTCTAACCGGTCGGTTATTGTCCTCGAAGCTGGGAAAAACCTGATTGATGATCATCGGGTCCAAACACCCGCTCTTTGGACCACCCTGATGGGCTCTGAAGCAGACTGGCAGTTTCAGTCAACGCCTCAGGTATGATTAAGCTGGTGCCCACATATATTCAAGCCCACATAAATTCAACACAAGCCATTCCCGAACGCTGACCGAGTGAGTTAGGCTGCACTCAACAACCGAGTCATTAAGGAAACACAAGGCAGGGTTCTCGGAGGTTCATCAGCTATCAATGGACAGGCCTTCATTGCGCCCACAAAGGCGGGAATTGATGCTTGGGACAAATTGGGCGCGACCGGTTGGACATGGGAAAATTTTGCTCCTTATTATAAGAAGGCGACTACGCTGCAGCTGCCGGATGAGGACACTCGCGACCATATCGGCGTGAGCTGGGTTGATCCTGAAGTCAACGGCAACTCAGGTCCCATCAAAGTCTCTTTTCCTGCTGTGAAGGAAAGCCCTCTGGCAAAAGCCTGGGTAGATAGTTTCCAGGGAATGGGGTATGGCTGTACGGCAGATCCGTTCTCGGGTGTATCCACTGGCGGCTATTCCAACTTGGCATCAGTCGACTTTGAGAAGAAGCAGCGGAGTTATGCCGCGACTGGATATGGTCTGCCAGCTATGGAGAGGCGTAATGTCCGGATTATCACTGAGGCTACTGTTCAACGGATCCTGTTTTCTACTAAGGAATCCGGGGCCACGGCAACTGGAGCAGAAGCCAGGATTGATGGACAAATTGTCACTATCAAAGCTAGGAAAGAAGTCATTCTGACCGCCGGAGCCCTCAATACCCCCAAACTCCTGGAACTTTCAGGCATCGGAAACAGGCAGATTCTCGACCAGTATTCCATACCTGTCATCGTGGAGAACCGGAACGTGGGAGAAAACCTCCAAGATCATCTCATGACCGGGATCAGTTTCGAAGTGAAGCCAGGGATTGCAACCGGGGACCCGCTGCTACGACAAGAGCCCGAGGCAATCAAAACTGCCTTCCAACTCTACTCTGAGCAAAAAGCAGGACCCATGACAATTGGGGGAGTCCAATCCTCCGCATACATGCCACTGACAGGATACTCAGGGCAACCAGAAGCCAGAGTAGCCTATTTCGACAGCTTCCCACCAGACTTGAACGAGCGCGACCAAGTCATCCGTGACATTTACGCGCAAGAACATGAACCCACCTGTCAGATATTCATGTTCCTTGCACAGGCGAACCTCCACGAATCTGGCAAGAGTTTCGTAGGGCAGAAACTTCTACCAGGAAATTTTCTGAGTCTGGGACTCATCCAGACCTTACCTTTCTCGCGCGGAGCGGTCCACATCGCGTCAGCGGATCCAACGGTGTCACCAATAATCGAACCTCGGTACTTTTCAAATCCTTTAGATATGAATCTGATGGCGCGAAACCTACTAAGTCTCGAGAGACTTCACAGCGTCAAGCCTATCGCAGATTATCTGGTGGAGGGCGGATGTCGGAATCATCCGGATGCATTCCTGACGGATCTGGAGTCAGCAAAGAAGTATCTGCGGGATACTGCTACTACGAGCTATCACTTGAGTGGTACAGCGGCTATGCTTCCACAGGAAAAAGGGGGAGTGGTGGATGAGAATCTTCGGGTGTATGGAACTACGAATTTGCGGGTGTGTGATGCGAGTATCTTCCCCCTTATGACGACTGCGAACCCTATGTCGACTGTGTATGCGGTGGCGGAGAGAGCGGCGGATATCATTAAGGGCGCGCAGTAGGGCTTGGTACTCGGCTATCGTGATATTGATATGTGCTACATTCGATGAATACACTAAAGCAGTACAACACCCGGTCTCTATGCTTTGGAGGACCGTGTATAGCCAAACTCTTATTTCTCACACGATATCAGACAACAAAAACAAAATATAACACAAATCTAGTACGCACTTAACCCACAACTAGCCCACAGCAGCCCCCCACCCCGGCAACAAATACCTCGCCAGAAACGGCGCCTGCGTGGTAAAATGCGGAAATCTCCCGTTCTCCACGGCCCTCAACCGATTCGAAAACGTAGGCGGTCTCTCCCCGACCCACCCCCTAGCCCTATACTCATCGACAATACGAAACCTCAAATTCTTCGCATTCGCCGCAGCAATATCATACCACCATTCGGCCCCCTGCACGATCTGAAATGTGAGAATCACAATACTCCCATCCTCCGCTGCGCGCTTATAAGCATCTACATATTCCGGTCCCAATTCTAGTGCCATCGACACGGGGGGCAGATCTCCCCACATGATCATCCACCACTTTAGATCCAGATCGCAGGTCACGTAATCGAAGAGGAGGCCCATTGTGACGCCTCCGCCGTCTTCGAGGTTGTTAGTGGGAGAAGACGAAGGGTCGGGTGGTTCGGAGTCCTTTAGGTTCTGTTGGACGTATCTCTCCAGATCCATCACATCTTTCAATGTGCCTGGGATGCGGTAACGATCAAAGGTTTTGCCCCGGGGCCAGGACCAGACGCGGAGGACTGGGATGTGGGGTGCGGGCGGCTGCTGGGTGAGCATGCGACGCCAGGATGCCTCGGGGTACAGGTACGCCTTACGGCGCAGGGGATATTTTTGGAGAGGGAGCTCGGAGTAGAAGACCTCCGCTCGGGTGAGGTCGTCCTTGACGGGGTGGCTCCACGCGTTCTCATTGCCGACGTATTGCATTGGGAGGAAGTGAGGCGGGTAGCAGTCTCGCGGTTTGACGAGCTCATTGTGAATGGTACCTGGGAAGAACGGGGGGAAATGTTTGATCAGGAGGGGGTTGTAGATGATGTCTTCTTTGGGCCATTGGGCTGGGGCAAAGAAGAGGGCTTGTTGGAGGGATGGAGATTGCTGCATTAAAGAGGCCCAGGCGGTGCAGACGCGTTGGGAAAAGAGGAGGGTGTGGATGTCTAGTTGGATAAGGATGCGTTCGAGGATTTCAGGGATGAGGAGGGAGCGATGAGGGGGTGGTGAGGGTGTTTCTGGTGCCATGGTGGTGGCAGTGATTGTGATTGTGATGACGATGAGGATGAGATGGGGGTACTTATGCAGGGTTCGGGGGTTTGTGGAGGTCGGAATTGCACAAAGGTGCAATGCCCTACCGGGCTGAGAGTGTTGAGGGAAAGGGGTATTATATATTCCGCCAGAGAGGAGAGAGCCAGTAGTAGTAGAGTTGAGCAGGATATTAAGTGTGAATGTGTAATGAGAAGACTAAATCAAGCAACTAAGCCGTTAGCTTCATGCAGGAAGACAGGCGCGGACGGGCTCCGGCAATGGGACCACCCGCCACGATGTGATTCTCAACGCTCGAACCCCTCAATTCAAGGGAAGCAGGATGCAGATGGAAGGACTCGGTCAACCGAATTGGCTGCTCTTTAAATTAATTATATTACTCTCATGCATGTCTCTTCACAAACTCCACAACCTGATCCGGCACCACCAGCCACGGCGTATGTCCCGTCTTAACCTTGTCTGTCTCGAACGTGGCTCCCTTGGCTCGGGCCTTTTCAACCATCCCTTCTTGTGCAAACAATGGGATTGCTCGATCATCTTCACACAGCAGATAGGCAGATGGAATTCGCAGGTACGCCGCACTTGTGGCAGGGCTATTTTTGGTCGCCCATGCATGGGGTCGCAATGTCTCGGCCCATTTCTGGCCGTCGGGAACATCGTGGAAAAACAGCTTGAAGGGATCGTCAGGCAGCACGGTGCCATTCTCCACCTACACCACATTAGAATCACTTAATCGAGATACAAATAAGAGAGAAAGCTGTACTCACATCCCGAACATACCAATCCGGCGGCACCCCGCCAAATGCCCCAATTAAACTCTCACCAACCTCCGGAATAAACGCAGAGAGGTAGATGAGCTTCACCACGCCACCTGGTTTACCCGCTTCTTGGCGCTCCGTCTTGCAGAGTCCATCGAGGGCACTGCTGACGGGGAGACCAGACCAGCTGTGCAGGACAATTGCAACGTCGTTTCCGGCATCGCATTCTTTTTCGACGACACTGCGTACGGCAGTAATATCGGGTTGGAGGTCTTTGACTTCATTGGCTTGCTCGATAGAGGGGAAGGCCACGGTGCGACAGGTATATTCGGGAAGTCTCTCGATGAGTGGGCCGTATGCTACTGGTGAGTACCAGGCACCGGCACAGAAGACCAGGGTTGGGTTGGACATATTGCGATCGTGCAGAAGTAAAATAGATGATGCTTAATTCTACTTCGTGAGAAGGGAGGAGCCCTTAATAAATGGTAGCGATTCAAGAAATGGCCCCCAATTATTTCGTGTATGAAGCGAGGCTCAAAATCGAATGATAGGTCGGCTCGTTAAAATATTGCCAGATGGGTCTTAGGCTTCATTGATCCGCTGTCAGCACTAGATGTAATGGAATTGTTCGTTGGTGGTCGATAAGACGGTGAAGATGGGCCGAAGCGGGAAGACATGCCAAGAGCTTCATCCGTCGCGGCTTACAGGGACGAAGGCAGCATTCGGTCGCCCACGCGCTAGCTTCCGGTTATTGTCTGAAATAGGAACAGTTATTAGGCTTTGTAAACACATGAGAGAAGAGTAAGGAGCCCTCGGATCTAGTGTCACCCACCAATTGCACCATGCCCTAAGTGGACGGGACAGATAGACAGTTATAGCATATCTGATAAGAAATGCGACCGGACCCACTGGACAGATATGCTGACGTCGTACCGGGTTGCAGTCACGCAAGGGTCGACCGACTACCTCTCACCCCGCGATAGCTGTCACTTCTTCCTTTCGACAATTCCGTTTCATTGTGCGGCAGTGGGCTCGACAATGACTGTCAAGGAGGAAACGTTTATTCCGCTGTATCGGAGCTCGTCCTCTAGACGACCACGAGGCCGCACGATAAGACAATGGCAACTGCCAATCTGTGCGGGCATCTGTGCCGCGGCAATTCTGCTGGTCGGAGCCAATCCAAGAGAACTGCTATTGCCAACCAGTGCAACCACACATCATGAATTCTACACTGGACTGCAACAATGCTACGACGCTGAACGTCAACTGCATGTGCCAGATGCTGGGGACAGCTCAAGACAGAATAATCCCCGATGGAACCCGATCTCCGGACAGGCCACTCCGGTTGTTCTACAAAACGCAACCCTCTTTGATGGCGAATCGACGCTCCCAGACGCCGTAGACATCGTCTTCGAGGCTGGTGTTATCACCTCAATTGTTTCCTCTGGCTCAGGTGATGCTCCGCCCGCGAACGCAAACATTATCGATGTTCATGGCAAACATGTCACTCCGGGCCTAGTGGATATGCACTCTCACCACCTGGTAATGCCATTTCCGCAAGTGGTAGCAACGAGCGACGTGAACGAGAAGTCGCTCGGACCAATTACTCATTTCGTGCGCGCAATCGACGGCTTCACGCCGTCCGATCCAACCATCAAGATCATCGCATCGGGCGGAGTCACCTCCTCGCTAGTTCTACCCGGCTCAGCAAACATCGTCGGCGGCGAGGCCTACCCTGTCAAGAACCTGCCCTTTTCAGGTGAATACGGCGAACCCGTAATCGAGGAATTGCTCCTGGAGCACGGTATCCCAGAGCAAGACCGCCAGCGGTATCTTAAGATGGCGTGTGGTGAAAACCCGAAACGCAATTACCAGCACACCCGGATGGGACTTGCTTGGCTCTTGAGGGAGAAGCTTGCAGAGGCGCGGGAACTAGAGCAGCATCAGGCTGCTTGGTGTCGCGGAGCGTTGGAGATCGAGCACACCAGGTTTGATCGAGCGCGGCATATATCGCGCTTCCTAGAACAACAAGGACGGCGACCCGATTCATTCGAGTTGAGTACGTTCGTGTCCTTGATAAGGGGAGAGCTGAATGTGAATGTCCATTGTTATACGCCGGAGGATTTGGAGCGCATGCTGGCTGTCCTCCATGAGTTTGGTATCCATCCTCGGGCTTTCCATCATGCATTGGAAGCGTGGCAGGTGCCGGAACTGTTGAAGCATTTGGAGCCGTGAGTATGTAGTCACTATATGTGTGGTGGTACTAATATTGTATGCAGGAATGTCACGGTTGCCACATTCGCGGACAATGCGCTGTACAAGGCCGAGGCCTATGAAGCAAACCTGCGAGCAGGGAAGATACTTAATGACCACGGAGTGCGGATTGCGTATAAATCGGTATGGTAGAAACCTACTGAACTGTATGGACACGGAATAATACTGATATAATTATAGGATCACACCGGGGAAGAGAACTATGCCAAGTACCTTCTGTTAGTTACGCCCCAGCATCTCTTCCGACAGGCTACTAATAATGTAATAGCGACCAAGCCTCTATCGCTCACTCATTCGGTTTACCGGCCGATAAGGCTTTACGATCAGTCACTTCAGTACCAGCCCACTCAATGCAGCAGGACCACCGCATCGGATACGTGCGTACGGGATACGACGCCGATATCGTCATATGGGACAGTCATCCACTCCAAGTCGGGGCCACAGCTGTCGAGGTTTTCATTGACGGACGTGCGTTGTTACAGAAGCGAGACATTACAGAGATATCTTCGAATTCCGGCTTCGATGATCTGCAACGTGTACCCGAGATGCGACCGGTGGCAGATATCGACCAGCGGATCAATGTCTGTTCGTCGAAGCCACGTCTCGTGTTTAGCGGTATTCAGAAAGCACTTATCGACCGCCCAAGTCTTGATCAAGTGGCCGAACATTTAGTCCTCGTGGTAGAAGATAACAAGGTTTCGTGCCTCGGTGCGAAACAGACATGCATAAGAGGCGAGGACGAGGGGGTCACCGAAGTAGCCCTAAACAATGGCTACATTACACCCGGGCTGATTGCCTTTGGCAATGACCTTGGAATCCAAGCAATTTCATCCGAAGAGTCGACAGGCGACGGATCAAGCGGTACAACTGGCGATCTTTTAAATGAAGCAAAGAGCGTCCACTTTGCCAAATACGGAGCTCATCTTCATGGGGTTGCATTTGACAGAGCGAGAATTGGAGGAGTTACGAAAGCGATTACTCCGCCGCATGGCAGTGGACTTATCAAGGGTGTCAGTGTAGGGTTGCGAACTGATCCTAACGCAACGATATTAGACGGAGGAATCTGGAGAGATGATGTGGCGCTTCATTTCTCGGTCGGACAGGGGGCCAAGAGTGAGTATTTCAGTGTTCTGCGATCTATTAGGACAAGGGCCTAACAAATAAAACCAGACGGAGATACCCCAACTATTGCTTCAGAAATCCAAGCCCTGCGCCAGATTTTGAAGGAGGGAAGTAAGAGCGACGCAGAGCAGCACAGCGTATATGCACAGGCTGCAAATGGCTCTCTGCCACTGGTGGTTGAGACATACAACGAGGACGACATCTCTCAATTGATTCTGGTCAAACGAGAGTTTCCTTCCGTCAATCTTGTTATATATGGCGGCCATGGCGCTGCTCTAGTAAGTCACTCTTATACTACACCCCAGTCAGTGTCACTATAACTTACACCCTATGTCAGGTCGCCAAACCCCTAGCCGAAGCAGGCATCCCAGTCATCCTAACCGGCAACCTGGGAGCACCCGATAAGTGGGAGAAGAAAAATGCTCTTCCAGGGCCACCGCTCAGCGACAGTTCAGCAAAGGTTTTGATTGACGCAGGTGTGCAGCTAGGTCTAGCACTGCAGGGTGATTCCAGACTCCATGGGTTGGCCCGGGAGGCGCGCTGGGCCGCCAAGCAAGCTGACTTAAGTGATAAGGAGGCTGTCGCGCTTGTATCGTCCAATATTGAGCGAATTCTGCGGCTTGATCGTGCGATTAATGATAGCCAAGCATATATAGGGGATTTGGTTTTGTGGGATGGAAACCCGTTGCACGGAGAAGGGTCGGTTGTGGTTGCTGTGGGTGAGGACGGAGGAGTCACGGATTGCTGGCCGGATTCTGGGAAATAATTTCCTTGGCGCTGTTGCACTCATAGAGCGCAGAAATACCTGCAAATTGTACCAGGTAAATATATGCGACCGCAGATAGTTCATTCAGGGACTCGTTTAGATACATATGGGACTTGGGCCTGTAGGTGCTTTAGTCAATATGTCTAGGGCATCAATGTAGATATAGGCGGTGCTCCTGCCACAGACGATGGTGCTACAGCGCTACAAATGCCTCTATGTGAGGGTAGTACGGGGGCATTTCAAGATTGCTTATCGAGTTAGGTTTAGGTGTCAACACGGATATTCTGTCAGTGGAGCGGGCCGTGTTCCCCATGTCATATATAGCTAGATGGATGAGATGGGCATCACTGGGTCTCTTAAATGAAATTGTCGTGGCATTCGATGCTACGACCACTTGATGTATACCGAGCGATTGAAGAGGCCATTAGAACAATGCTCTCATATAGGTTTCGGGTCTAGCTCCAATTGAAGGGGTTAATGGAGATTTGTAGATAATGTGAAATATTGGAACATGGAGTCTTTTGACTGCGCGGAGAGAATAGTGGACTGAAGAATAAACTCGAGGTTACGCCAAGAAACTCTATGGTAAATGCATGCATTGCATGACGCGTGAATGGGGAACATAAACACATTATACTTCAACTCATGCAAAAACGCTTATGATTTGACTGCCCACACGTCAATTGCTCCTCCCTCAAAAGAGGGCCAAGTATAGGAATGAGAAAGACACCTACTTGTATCAACCCCCATCCACATGCTACATCTTGCGACAAAACAACCACCTCATATCCTCACTCAATCCCCACGCCCTCCAATAGTTAACGCGTTCATATATTAATATATCCAATACTCGCGCCGCCACTCAGGTCCTCTGTGACTCCATCTTGGCTGCCATCAGGACCCATATGGAAGCTGCCAACAACAGAAAGTCATTTGCAATACTTGAAGTCGGTGCTGGAACGAGAGGCATGACCAAACATCTCATCCCGCTTTTTTAAGCCACTGGCATTCCCTTTACCTACATCTCTACTAATCTCTCTGTCTCTCTTCTTACGCGTGCAAGACAGATAATATTTCTGGGTGTTACTTGCATGGATTTCTATTAATATAATTCTAAGGTAGTCCTGGAGCCGGAGCTACACTGGAACTATTATCGCGTTATCTCTGTTAACTGTTTTCATGCAACCTGTGACCTCCACCAAAGCCTGTAGTATATACGACAGGTCCTGCATCCAGATAATGGATGCGTAGCGTTACTTGAACTGACGGATAAATTGCTCTGGTATAGCCTGCTCTGGGGGCTCCTATTTGGGTGGTGGCTTTTTGATGATGGCCGGAATTATCTACTGCAGAGCCTATATGCCTGGGAGAGTGTAATGTATGAAACCGTTTATCTGTATGTTGATTTGAGAATGTCAGCCAAGAAAAGCGCGGTGTGCAAGTGTTGTGCGGCTTCACTACTCCTAGTTTCCCAAAGCCATGGCAGGAACTGCAGCAACCCCTCAAAGCGCCCTCGACCCTATTGCATCGGGGGTCCGTCGCTGCAACGAGACAGCGCAATTTATTCCTAATGCCTGATGGCTTCGAAGCGGGGTCAGTCTTCACAGCACTAGCGCCGTACTTGTCGCGCGTTCCAGATACTTGGGCCTACGCACTCAGTAGCCCCTTCCTGTCATTGGTGGCGACGAATCGCGTTGATCTCGACCAGCTACCCTCCATGAGGTGTTGCCAACTATTTATATGGAGGAGATAAAAAAGCGGGACCGTATCTCATTGGGGGTTACTCGCTGGGCGGGGTGGTGGCCTTCGAGGCAGCGCGCCAGCTGGTGGAAACAGGTGAAATCGTGGACCGGCTGGTCTTGATGGACTCGGCGAGCCCGAGTAGGGTGCACTCATTTCCTGATGAACTGGTGCAGTTTCTGGATACAATTGACGCGACCAATAACCACAACGATACTGCCCAGGGAACCGTGGGCAGCAGCGCCCACTTCACTTTATCTCGGGAACAGCTGCGGCAATACCGCGTGCGTCCGCTGTGGGGGTTGCAAGAGGGTCTCATCCGAGACGTGGTTCTCTTTTCAGCGCGCGAGGGGGTCGACAAGCAGGAGACCGTGCCTCGACCGAAGGTGGGAAGCGACGAGCAAAGCGCTGTGGGATGGTTTTTGGATGATCGGGTCGATAACGGGGCGCTGGGGTGGGAAGATTTATTGGATAATGTGCGAGTGATCCGCGTTGACGGGAGTCTTTTTTCATTGATGGATGCGTCGAAAGTGAGTTGCCTCCTTCCTTATATATAGCTCTTGTGCAAGTAATGAATGAAGATTGAGTGACTGTCTGATCTGTGAACAGGTGAGCTCATGGGGTCCGAAATTGGCAGATGTTCTGGTCGGTTAGGGCTGTCTTTGTTCCAGTGGTATTGATGCCTGGTTCGGTGCTAGAATACCATTGTGTAATGATACCGCGTATTGATGCCAATTGCCCGGAAGCAAACCCCCAACTGATCGGTGTCTACATGAATTGATACGTTGATCACTAACACTGAACCGAATGCCGCAGACCTCTCGATTGTGTAGTGTAGGAGTATGGGTCTGTGTCTGACATCGACCAGATGCATGCTTTCTCCACCTTGGATCGGTATCTCTCGCGGCACGAAAAATTGGCGCGGATTATATATATGTTCTGCATGCCACCTAAACAGGTGCAAGTCTTCAAATGGAAGTTAGTTATTACGCCTTGGTAGAAATGTAGTATACCTAGTTTATATTTTCTTCATCGGTAAGTTATGGAGCGTTCAAAGGTAATCAAACCATACACGCCAATGGCACTCCCTTCACCTCCGCAGAAAATACATCCCAAATGACACGCCACCAACCACAGCAAACAGACCCACCCACCGAATCAACCCACGACGAACATGTTGTCTCACAGTCCGAGTGATCGCCTCGGAATCATTAACCCTCGGAAACGGTATATCCTTCGGCACCTCCATCCCCAGCGCCCTGCACAACGGCTCCCACCCATCCCTAACATCAACAAACACCAACCTCTCCTCTGGAACCACCTCCTTCAACCACTCAATATGCTTATGATAGGCACCACCCGGACCCCCATTCCTCCCATATATCCTCCGCCATTGCAAAGCAACCAACGCCAGATAATCCATAAAATGCCTCATTCCAAGAATCGGCAGCATTATGGCGCGCAGAAACCACGACGATCGCACCAGACCTTCCAGTTGCGCCATGCTCTTCGCCCACGCTACCGGGTCGCGAACGGTGCAGATGACCTTGGCGTCGGGGTAGATTTCCATCAGTTCTGGGACGAGTTGGGTACCCGGGGCGTCTGTGATGGCGGCGTAGCCGTCTAATTGCCGGTCTATGAGGGCGAGGGCTTGCTGTCGGTCCGGGGCGTTGTCGTTGAGGATGAGGCGCATGACTTTCATCCATGTGGTGATTTCTTCCGGTGGGCCTGTTGTTGTTTGCGTGCCGCCGTGGTAGACTGGGCCGTTGAGGAGGATGGCGAGGGCGGCGCTGAAGGATGCTGTGCCGGTTCGGGGGAGGCCTGCGCCGATGACGCTGAGTTTGGTGCCGGGTTGGGGGGTCGAGGGAGATTGGCCCATTTTTATGCAGTTGGGTGTTAATGGGATGACCCTTACGATACGAATTGCGTAAATGAGCTATTAATTGAGGGTAGTGACTGCCCCGAGTATATATGATGTCTGTGGTGGTAGATTGAAAATAAGCAAGTTTCGGAGCGTGTAGGTCAAACTTTATATGTAGCGGTCCTTAGTCGGGAATCTGGATTTGACTGGTCGAGAACCATGATTTTAGCCCCAGATCAAAGACTCGAGAGAACAATGCTTTCTTATTATGGATTAGTGCTGACAGGCGTTTGGCTGTTTGATCCTGCATGGTGTCTAGTTTGTCGATGCACTAAAGTGCAGGTAACAGCGGTGGTGATGTGGTACTTCTTCCGGCGAATGGGTTACCGAAGTGGGCCCTGTAGCTGTTGAGGCATGAATTTGATTGGTCCGCTCGTCTGGCCCCGAATGGATGTAATGGTTTCTGTCGGATGTTTCAGTTCGTCAAGCATCTACATCTGGGAATCTTGGAGGCTGGCTTCTTTGATTGCGGGAATGTTCATAGATGACAAATCATGAACAGTTATGCCCGACCGACTATTCCGGATCGGGCTGTAGATACGAAGAGACGCGCTAGTCCTATTTAGAAAGTCACCTGGTCTGCTCCTTCGTGTCTCCATCTTCCGTCGACACGTCGGTTCTCGAAGACCCCCCATTCATCCGGGACTCTGAACTCGCGCTGCTCACTGCTCGATTCTCTTCTATAACGGCGGTGCAGTGCTCATTAATGAACTGACTGATTCCAGCCACACAGCCTGCATCCTTCATCAACGCGTAATGGTTGTCGCAGTCGACAACGCCCAAAGTGATGTTGGTGCAATGTGCCTTCCACCAATCTACCACTCCGTCCTGGAGCCGATCGGGTAACGCCACATGAAGGCACTTACCCTCATAGACTGGTGGACTTTCAGATTGCTCCAAGGCTCTAACATAGCCATCAAAGCACTTTCGAAGCGCTAGGATGTCTTGAGAACTGATCTCCGATCTGCCCAGCGAGCTCATAATCAAATTGTCCTTCTCACTTTCACCCTTCCATGCTCTGTTATCCACTTCATAAGTGCCGGGGTCGAGTAGGACTACCGAGCTGGAATGGGCACCGTATAATTGGTCCCATTTATGGGCCATCTCGAATGCAATGAGTCCACCAAATGAATACCCCCCAAATATCACAGGGTGGTCAGCCTGAATATGCTCTTTCATATCAGCCAAGTAACGACTAGCCCACTGCGAAAGCGTATCGGGATAACGAGCTGCGCCCATGAATGGGTCGTCAACTAGGAGGACATCAATCGTGCCGTCTAGTAATGGCAGCAGTGGCTCGAATACCGTGGATTGCGCAAGGAACGGATGAACAAGGACAATGGTTGCCATACTCCCTTGGCGCATGTGAAAATGTAGGTAACTTGTAT